CTGATAGTAAAAACAAGGGTTAAAATGATTAAAATGAATAATTGATAATTTGAAATAGGAAAAATGGTCCAAAGACAAAGGAGTGAAGGGAGGGGAAGGGGAAAGGAAAAGAGGGAAAGGGAAAAATTATGAGAAAAAAAATGGAAATGAAATCTATGTAAATAGGGAAGAGCAGAGGGGGTGAAGGGTGCACAGGTAATGGGGTAAAAATAAGAACTAAGATACATCAAGTACAGGTACAAACACCCAATGATAAATGTAAATGAATTGTATACCTAAAATATACCAATAAAATGTACCAATAAAATTAATTTTTTAAAAAAAGAAAAGAGATAAGGAGCTTCACAGATGAACCCTGTGTGCTATCGGCTTTGCAGAACAACTGAGTTGCCTCAGTCTATGCCGGAGCAGCAGGAAGCACTCATCACAGGTTTGCTCTGCTATCAAATCTCTTTTGCAACTGGCCCAAATTTTACAGATTACACAGTAAACTGACCAGAGTAACACTATCAAGTGCAGTATATTGAAAGTCTAATTCATTGTCCAAAGAGGCTTAAGCATTGTAACTCTTTCTTCATGACGAATGACATAAGATGCATGCGTTTATTTCTCAATTTAGAGGAGATATTCTAACATACTCTAGAGTTTTAGTGTACCTAAGCTCACCAATATTGCAGATCTCTAAACTTTTGCAGCTTTTACATTGGTCTGGCATGCGTGTGTCACGTGAGGTATTTAATGTGCTTCATAGTCCTATTCACTAAGTACAGTCAGCATACATTCAGTACAATAGGCCAGCATGCCATCAAGATGTTTAATATCCTTCCAAAATATTTTGTAATAGAGAACAGGCTACTATATAGGCTTGAGATAAAATGATAGAAAATAGGATAAGTATACCCATGAGATAGAACAGCTAAAGTGTATTTCTGACCCCATTGCTTGAAGGTGAACTGTATCTGTTCATCTCTACTGAGTATTCCTAAACACTCTTCTGTATGAAATTTTATCTTCAACATCCCAGGAGTTGCTCTTGCTGTCTGTGATGAAACCCTCCAGAAAGCCATACAGATTTTCTCTCTGTTTCCAGTCTACATTCAAATCCATGCTCGCCCATAAGTGCATGTACAGCTGTCTCTACATAGGAACTGTGGTTTCCCCCCATTCCACCTTGGTGGAGCCCTCGGGCTCTTCTAGGGGCAGCCAGATAGGGCAGAGCTGAAGTTCTTGCTTAGTTCTTTGATCTGTGCCCAGCACTGTGTCTCCAGCACAGCAGTAGTAGAAGCTGCTATCTTTGGGGCATGTACTAATCATAGCCAGAGTTGTGAATGTTAGGTTTGGGTGGCTGATGAGAAACTTTGTCCTTGGAAAATCTATTCTCATATGTGGCCTCAGAGCCTTGATTTCCAGTTGCAATCAGCACCAAGCTCTGTCCTGGGGCCTGATGGTACCAGAAGATCAGGGATACCTGGATGTCAGCCTGATACTGGATTGTCATGGAGGTCCCACTTTGACAGATTTCTCTGGTTGACTTTTGATGAAGGATAACACCAAGCACAAAGCCTAGTTCCAGAAAGACAGACCAGCTTGGGGTCAGGCAGGCAGAAAAGTCTCAATACTTTATACCACCTCAGCTCCCAAAGGACCCAAAGCACTGCCTATTTTTTATTTTGTCATCTGTTATTCTGTTAGGATCCTGTAGTCTCACCTCTTACCCTCATCCTCTGTCTGGTGGCTTCAGATTTTGGGGGCAGAAAGTCTCTGCACACCTCTGCTCAGCATGAACACTAGCCCTAGACTTCTCATGGGACAAGTCTCCTACCTTGTAGCAGAAGTAGAAGGAGAGTCCACATCTTTGAGCGGTGATTTTTTTCCCCTGAGAAAGGGCACTACGAAGTCAAACTCAAGTTCATCTCACAATGGTGTAGTTACTTCCCTACCTACCGTGTTCTTCTCTTCTAGTAGGAGATTGAGTGTCTGTAAAACATGGAACATTATTCTGTACCCTAGTGGCTCTGAGTGGCTCTCCACTTAGGATGGGTGTTCATTCACAAGGCATCCCAGCATGTCCCTGCCACATGCACATCAGTTATTCAAGTCCTCCTCCATCATTATGGATGTGCTACTTGTATGTGCTACTCTGGCTGTACAAGCAAGAATGGGATGCAAAACTGAGTTGAAAGAGTTAAAGATAAAATTTTAAAGTATAAAGAAACTTTATAACAGAATTTCAACTGTCTGCTTTCATCACTATTGTTGTCCTACACTTAACTCATCAGTCCTCTTCCAACATACATATACCAATAAAGTGGCTCTGATTTCTGAATTCCATTCTCCAAATAGATGGAATTTTAACTTTTGTTGGACTTCAGGCTCAGGAATTCAATTAGCCTCTTTTCTCTTCACCTACCTCATTTGTCAATTCACAAATTAAACACATCCCAAGTGTTTCCTTACATCTTCCCTCATTTCAGTTGTCACATTCATAACCACTTTGATTCTCTCTGCTTAATCCATAAACATTTGTAATAAGATTCCTTTTATTATAATTCAGCTTAATGTGAACTGTGAAACAGATTAATCCTTGTGTAAAATTAGACCACAGTACCACAATCCTTTTCAGTTATTTATTGGCTTCTCATATTGGTTTCTCATACCATACAATCAACATAGTTTATTTTGCATAAAAACAGAGCTCATTTTTGAGCACTTACTCAATGTTTTGCTTATATTAGTATAATAACAAGCTGTTTTCAGACTTCTATTATCACTTTACCTTTTCACTCTTTAAATTTTTTTTGGTACCAGGGATCAAACCACTCTTTAAATTTTTGATTGAGATTAACGGGTTTCATTTTTGACATATTTGTACATGCACATAATATGCTTCGATCATTTTTACAACCATTCCCCTAGAAGTTTGGGATTTGGAGGAGTGTTTCAGTGTGTGTATCTTGCTCATATCCATTACCCCCAGTAACCCCTTGCCCCTACCCCTCCATCTTATCCATTTCCTCTTGTCTAATAATAGCCTCCCTTCTACTTTCCTGTCATCTTTTTAAAGATTCCACATATTAGGGAGAATATGCAATATTTGTCTTTCTGAGTCTGGCTTATTTGGCTCAACATGATGGTCTCCAGACTCATCCAATTTCTTGTAGATGACAGAATTTTGTTCTTCCTTGTGGCTAAATTATACTCCATTGTGCATACGTGCCCCATTGTCTTAATCCATTCACTTGTCGTTAGACATCTAGGCTGGTTCCATATATTGGCTATTGTTACCGCTCTATTTTTCCAAATTAGCAAATCTTGCCTAGGAGTCTTAACTTGCCCAAGTTCACATAATAGAAGGAGAAGTGACAAAGTGAAGTCTCAGGTCCATGTCTGTGTGATCCTAATGCCCAAATATTCATGTCAGTACTATCAAGGATTGCCTCACTTTTGCAGTGCCCTGTACGTTGTTAACTGGTGAGTAACTGAGTATGATGGACCATTAAGTTTTATATAGCACCTTGGATATTGTCAAAGGTATTCTTGGATTTTGTTTTATCCTTCTGGGTATGGTTGGATTTTTTTAGTAGTGTATCTAACTTGGTTGAATCCAGACTTCAAAATTTTTGCCTCTACAATGTGTAATGAAATCATTGTTCAGTTTTTTTTTTTTTTTAGCTTTAGGCATAGCTAATTGAAGTACCACTTCCACAGGTACAGGTCAGGCATCATCTAGGGATTTGGACAGTTTGTATGCAGAATACTGGCTTGCTGGTTCTTCATGAATTTTTGTTTGACTTGGGCCTGATCACCAGCAAAAAGTTACTGGCATGAATACAGAAAAGTTACCTTTCATTCAAATATGGACATCTTGGCAACTTCTACCTGCTCTTGGTTGCTTTGCTATGCCTTAAAAGAGGCTTTAAACGTTTTTGTCCTAAGTTTATGTTTGTTATTTTTGGAGGATGGGATCTATAAGAGTCATCATGTCACTATCATAATTGCTTATTCTTTTTAATGGATGCATAACAATCAGCAGACTCTTAGGATTCCTCTCTGTATATGATGCCTCTAAATAATCTAGATTTTTTTTGGTGGGATTGCTTTCTTCAGTATGGATTTGAGTTTTTAATAGGCCATGAAACTAATGCTAGATGAATTTTTTATGAATGAATTACTCAAACATATTGTGCAGTGGATCCACAGCCTGTTTTTGGCAGTATTAGAAAAAGCACCCTTGCAGCTTTCTATTTTAGTCTTGACTGGTTGCTAGTTAGGTCTACTGCCTAGCTGTTATCCCAGGACTTTGTTGCTATTCTAAATTAGCTTCCTATTTTTTGGCCCACATGATTTCATTGGATTTTAGTTTGCTCTCTCAGTTTACTGGGAGCACACTATTCAGTAATTTCTTAATAAAGATGAATAGAAATAAAAGCTTTGGATTGTAGCAAAAATAAAAATGTCTCTTTCTTTATATTTTATTGATGTGTTGGGTTAAGAATCTATTTTGAAAATTATTTTCTATCAAAATTTTATAGATAGTTATTACATCTTTTTTTTAGAATTCAGTGTCAGAAATGTAATCTCATTGGGCTTTCTAATTTATTTGTAGCTTTTAACTTATATTTTTAATTCAGGGCATTTTTCTTTGTCTTAGGGGTAACTTTAATCCTAAGGATTTTAAAATTTCATTAAGCTATGCCTTAGTTTTAGTAATCAGTTTCGGTTGTGTTTATCAAACACACAGCTGGGTTTTAAAATCTCAAGGCTCATGTTTTCCATCTCTGGTATTATTTTTTATAGCATAATTTTTGTAGTATTATTTCTTTGGCAATTTTGAAGATTCTCTTTTCCTGTTTCCTTTTTCTGAAATTCCTTTAGATAGCTATTGGAGCATCTGTGTTGACGCTCTGAGTCATCTATGTTTGTTTTCATGTTTTCTATTGTTCATCTTCTTTTTCTATTTTCTAAAGTGTTGTATTTACTTTTTTCTTGATCTTTATTTGAAACTCTCTATGTATGCGGGACAAGGATTGAACCTCAAAGCCTCAGGCATGCTAGGCAAGTGTTCTTTTTAAAAGGTGATTTATTTTGACTTTCTGAAAAGTTTCTAAATATTTCACTGAAAACTATTCATTCCCTAATTCATTTTGTGCTATATGAAGAATGAAATATTTCTTACATCCCCAAGGCTAGAAATAAGTGTTTATATGATTGCTATTTGAAATTTTTCCTTCTTTCCTTCATTATGTCTGTGTGCCTCAGTTTCTTTAATTCCATTATTGTTTACTACTTTATATTTCATCTGTCTGTCTTCTCTCTCTTTCTGTCTGCCTTTCTTTCTTTCTTTCCTTCTTTCTTTCTTCCTTTCTTCCTTCCTTTCACGTTAGTGATCCTATCTGTACTCTGATGATCCTTGACTTTGTATGTGTTCATTTCTAAGAGTGAAGCAATATAACCTTACTGGGTACCTACGAACACAGCTGGTCCTTACTTACCAGGAGATTTCATGTGAAAAGACTGGGCAGATACAGGGGACCACAATATTGATCATTCCCAAAGCAGGCTGTAAGCACTGCAGGCTGTAAAGTTAACGCCTCAATTGGGTTGTTTGGAGAAGCGAGTCAACTAAACCCTACATGCCAGAGTAACTCACACCCAAATTCCATTCCCATGATTAAAAGCTTCTTCACTAGAAAGACAACATTCTAACAACAACCCTATATTTTGTCTATTCTGTTCCTAATTTGAGAACACTCTGTCTTGTCCTTTACAAGCCTTGATTGCATTAGTATCCATAGAAACTGCATGACTGCATGTCCTCACACGTGGTTCCCTTTTAGCACATAATTCACTTTTATTCCCATTGATTACCAATAAAAATAAGTGGCTTGAACTGACCAGTGCCATTGCCAAATGAGCAGTATTGGTCATCCTGGCTCATTTTTTTGTCTCTTTAGTTCTGTCTTTTAGGGTATTTTTTCTCAGCACTGCATGGTAGCACGGAGCAGGAGATCAGAACCTTCTGTACAGTTCCCTGCCTAGGGCATTTGGCATTTGAAAGGGGCACTCCAACGTCAGGGTAGGGAGATGTGAAAGCACGAGGTGGCAATACTTTGGCCCAGGGTGTGCAGTGGAGGGAATCTGGGAGGCAGTGGGTCCTGTGGCAACAGAGCCCCAGCACAGGTGCATCTTCTGATACCCTAATATAGCTAACAGCTGTAGCCAAGGTCACTGCTGCTGGTTTAAATAACTTATAACCGAGGTCGTTACTAGCACATGGTCACCTTTGTGTACTTTGGTTTAATTGTGAACTAAGCAGCTGAGGATTTCTGCAAGAGAGGGAGACTAAGGAGCTAAGGACGGCTGCTTACATAGGTCTTAGAGGCATAAGGACTGCTGTGTGTGTACAGCACCAGTGAGCTGCAAGAGCAGCTAAGCAGACGGACTATGGCTAAGTGGGTGAATGAAAGATCGTAGATATTTCCACGACTCCATGTCTCT